TATATAAATTATTAAATAAATAATATAATTATATATATTGTTAAATAAATGATATAATTATATAAATTATTTAATAAAAAACATTTTAATAATAATTTGGCGGAAGGCGCACTCCTAATATATTTCTGATATAGGAGCGCCCCTGAGTCAGAGCGTCACGTGACCGCCCGGCGGCTCGGTCGTGCGGTGGTGGGGGTCGCGCGCCGGAATCGGTCCGAAATGTGCAAATCCTTGCGACCACTGACTTAGACAGTTAGCAGATCCGAATATTAAAGTTATCGCTCAGCAATTAGAAAAACGTACACATCACGAGTATGATCTTATAGATGGATTAGTCTATAAAAAAGAATCTGATTGCACTAAATTTGTAGTGCCAGAAGGCATGATTCATAAAATACTTTACATCTATCATGATGAATCTGCCCACTGTGGTACCGAAAAAACTTACCAAGGCATTAACGCCCATTATTGGTTTCCAGCCATGCGCCGTAAAATCGAAAGTTATGTAACGAATTGCGTGACCTGTCTAATGGCAAGTGCGTCAGCTAATCGGAAAGCAGGCGAGTTACAGATTACTCCCACAGCAGGAAAGCCCTTTCAGATAATGCACGCAGATCATTTTGGTCCTTTACCCGAATCCCGTAATGGAATAAGACACATTCTACTTTTAATTGATTTGTGCACGCGGTTCACTTGGCTTTTTCCAGTGAAATCCGCTACAACACGTGAAGTGATCAAGCATTTCTCTTCATTGTTCGATAACTACCGGAATCCCAATGAAATTGTAACCGATCGGGGAACTGCATTCTCGTCAGCCGAATTTGTCGAATTTTTGCGCCCCCGCGGAATTAAACATTGTATAATTGCGGTAGCAATCCCTGGGCGAACGGGATGGTTGAAAGAATTAACAGATTTTTGAAGGCTTCGCTTAAAAAGGTTGTAGATGACCCCGTAGATTGGCCCAGCAAATTAGCTACGATACAGTATGTAATTAATAATACTTTTCACTTTGCAACTAAAGCGTTTCCCTCCAAGTTATTGTTGGGATACGAAATGAAACATCATTCCGATAATAAACTTATCGAATTCTTGACTGAATTAGTTAAAATACAAACTATACAGGATGAAGATTTAACTTGGTTAAAGAAACGGGATAATAGTCGTAAACTTGCAATCAAAACCACCGATAAAATTAAAGAGTACAATAAAATTTATTTTGATCGTAGTCATAAAGCACCAAAGAAATACAAAGCGGGTGAATACGTGCGCGTTAAGGATGACGTTGTCAAACCTGGGGAAAGTAAAAAATTAAAGTCGGATTTCAAAGGTCCTTACATGATAGACAAAGTGTTACCACACAACCGTTACGTTGTCAAAGATATTCCAGGGTTTAACATTACTCCTAGACCTTACGACTCGATCGTGTCGCCCGACAAACTCCGACCATGGATAAAACCAGTGGTACCCATGTAAAATCTCGATATATCCGATAGTTATAGGCTTAGTTAATAGTTAGCGTAAGAATTTTATTTCTGTCGATAGCGGTTGATAGATGTATAAGTGTTACGGAGTACCGCCACGTAAACTTAAGTAATTGTTTAGACAAAATTACTGTTGCGTTAATAATTGATCAATTGATTATAATTTGTTTATTTCTTTTCCGACACTGATTCTTTTTGATTTTCTTAAAAGGAAACAGTTAGTCACGTTCGGGACGAACGCCATTGTAGAATGGCCGAGGTGTAAGCGACAGCTCAACAGTAACTTTAATATAATATATTATAGGACCGTACATGTGATAACACAAACTATAGAAATCAAAGCCTTTACAGTAACTTTAAGTTGGTAGTACGCTATATAAAATGTCCCTAGCCACGGTGAGGCGCTGATCAATGTCGCGTCGATCGCATTGACAGTCTCGACTTGTACTTCAGGCAATAACGTGATCTTATAACCAATTCTCAAGCGATCCTGATTTTCCCCGAATCCCTTACGAAGTGATCGGTTGACCTCGCCATCATTATTATCAATAGTTACGGTGTGTTTACAATACATTATCAGCGGCATTCAAGACGGGCCAGTCAACAAGACCGTGCTGCATGGGGCGAGGACGATACGCGAACTTAAAGAAAGAGTTCTACAATACGAGGCCATAAGAGAAGAAAGGAAGTCGAAAGCGAAGTTATCAAAACAAGAAGGCAAGAAAAGGACCAAGACGTTATGACTCCCATGGAAAAAAAGAGGTGCTTTAATTGCGGCGATAAGGACCATGTGAACAAGGAGTGTCCGACGAAAAACAAAGGTGCTAAATGCTTCAAGTGCAACCAGTATGGACATATTGCTAAGCTATGTAAGGGAGTAGTAAGTACGCAAAAAGAAGCTGCTCATGTAATATCGGACAATCCGTTTCAAAAACAATCGAAACAAATAGAGATTGCGAACCAATATTTTGTTAGCATTATAGATACCGGAAGTGATTTGAGTTTGATAAATCGAGATTGCTATGAGAAAATAGGGTGCCCGAAGTTAAAAAATAAAATAAACTTTAGCGGTTTAGGCGCGCCGAATAATAGATACGCACGGTTCATTTACAACGAATGTAACTATCGATGGCGAAGTGTATAATGTTGCGTTTCACGTGATAGATAATCAAATTATGAAAAGCCCGGCTTTAATTGTCGCTGATTTTCTAAATCAAGTCGAGCTGCATTCCGTAGGAGGTCAGGTTACAGTCTGTAAGATTACTTCAGATCTATCGAAAGTATTGCAAATAGACGTGGTAGAGGATACTTATCTTCGAGATTTTTCGTGTGTTCATGATAAATACGTGCGGCAAGAAGTTGAAACGATTGTACGAGAATATGAGCCTAAAAAAACGCGAGAAGTCGGTGTTAAAATGACATTGATTTTGAAGGACGACATTCCAATCTATCAAAGACCACGCAGGTTATCTCAATCGGAAAAAGAAGAAGTAGAAAAGCAATTGAAAACGTGGTTAAGCGCGGGCATTATTGAACCTTCTATATCCGATTATGCGAGTCCTATTGTATTAGTAAAAAAGAAAAATGGCGATACTAGAATTTGTATAGACTACAGAAAGCTGAACGACAAAATTGTAAAAGATCGTTATCCGCTACCGTTGATTGAGAATCAATTAGATCGGCTGCAAGGCGCCGATGTTTTCAGCGTACTCGATCTTAAAAACGGGTTTTTTCACGTTGAGATCACTAAAGAAAGTCGAAAGTATATTTCTTTTATTGTGCCAAATGGCCAATATGAATTCACGCGAATGCCATTTGGGCTCTGTAATTCCCCGGCGGTATTTCAGAAATTCGTGAATACCGTGTTTAAAGATCTGATAGCTGAAGGAATAGTGTTGACATATATGGACGATTTGATTATTCCTTCGCCAAACATCGAGCAATCATCGACTTAAGACGCATACTACAAGTATCAAGCCAAGCTGGTTTGCTCATCAACTGGCATAAGTGTCATTTTCTCCAAACGAAAATCGAGTATTTAGGGCATATTATAGGCGATGGAGCAGTACGACCTTCAGAGCACAAGACTAAACGCTGTTATGAGATTTCCGGCGCCAAAATGTATTCGCCATGTACAAAGTTTCTTAGGGCTGACCGGCTACTTTAGAAAGTTTGTTTTTAGATATGCTTCAATAGCTAGACCACTTACGAATCTCCTAAGGAATAATACTGAATTTCGTTTTGGAGAAGAAGAGAAGCAAGCGTTCCAGAATTTAAAGTACCCATTAAGTAATAAGCCTGTTTCACGACTATACAAGCAGAAAGCCGAAACGGAATTGCACACGGACGCGTCAGCACTCGGTTACGGTGCGATCTTGATGCAAAAACATCACACAGATAGTTGTTTTCATCTAATTTATTACGCTAGTGGTAAGACTACTCCCGCCGAAGAAAAGTATACCAGTTACGACCTGGAAGTACTTGCGATCATTAAGGCATTGACAAAATTCCGAGTGTATTTACTAGGCATTCCGTTTAGAATAGTTACTGACTGCAAGGCGTTTACACAAACTATGGGTAAGAGAGATCTGTGTGTGCGGGTAGCTCGGTGGGCTCTCGCTTTAGAGGAATATAATTACGAAATCCATCATCGACCCGGAAAAAGCATGCAGCATGTCGATGCTTTAAGTAGGAATCCTCTCCCCGAAATCTTACTCATTAACGAAATCAATGATAGTCTAATAGCTAGGTTTAAGAAGGCTCAGAATACTGACGCGAATTTACAAAAAATTATTAAGCTAGCAATGTGCAATCAGGCCAACGGTTACGTGATGAAAAATAATTTGTTGTATTGAGACGAAGAAGGCAGTTTGTTGTTTTAGTGGTACCGAAGGCGTTACAAAATTCGGTAGTTAGACAAGCGCACGAACAATGACATTTTAGCGTCGCAAAAACAAAAGCACTTTTACGTAGAGATTATTGGTTTAAAGGAATGAAGTCAAAGGTTGAAAAAATAATATCAAGTTGTATAAATTGTATCCTAGCTGAGCGCAAGTAAGGTCGACAAGAAGGGCTCTTACACGTAATTAATAAGGGAGACATTCCATTAGATACATACCACATCGATCATCTGGGCCCGATGGCCAGTACGAGAAAAAATTATCGTCACATCCTCGTAACCATTGACACGTTTAGTAAGTTTGTATGGCTGTATGCAACAAAGTCAACTGACACCGCCGAAGTAATTGACCGGTTACAAAAACAATCAATGGTATTCGGGAATCCACGAAGAATTATATCTGACCGTGGTACTGCCTTCACATTTAACGCGTTTAAAGACTATTGTAATGACGAAAAGATCCAACATACTTTAATATCAACGGGGATACCTAGGGGTAACGAGCAGGTCGAAAGAGATAATCGCATGCTCATACCGCTTTTAACAAAGCTCGCCGCGCCTAAACCGGAAGAATGGTTTAAATCATTAACGCTCGCACAACGCTATTTAAACGCTACACCGAGTCGAAGTACTGATCGAACACCGTTTCAATTAATGTTCGGTGTACATATGCGTTCAAAAGAGGATCCATAGATACGCGAAATTGTCGAGAAAACGAGTGGATACAGATGTTCGAGGAGGAACGTGATGATATTCGATACAGAGCTAAAGAGAAAATTGCGAAAGTTCAGCAAGAAAACTCAAGGAATTTTAATAAAAGAAGAAAGAAAGCTTGAGAGTACAAAGAAGGAGACTTAGTTGCAATCAGGCGCACTCAGCTGGGTCCAGGTCTAAAATTTCTTGGTAAATTTCTAGGTCCTTATCGTATCATAAAAAGAATGCGAAATGATCGGTATGTTGTTTCAAGAGTAAGCGACCACGAAGGTCCTCAGGAAACCTTGACTTCAGCCGACTGTATAAAATGTTGGTTACCAGACGATGAACAGAGCGAAACGACAGCGAGCGAAGAAGAGAACGACGGAATAAACTGTAATCAAACCGATTCCTCTATGTAATATTAATGTATAAGTCAGCATGTAAACTAGAATTTAAGTTTTCTTTTAATTACGAAGGGGGCAAAACCTGAACATAGGTATTCGGGGACGAATGCCCCGTAGGCTGGCCGAGTTGTGGATCTGTAACAATGTTCAAAGTTAGAGTTTCCCTCGCATCCCAGATATCTAGGATCTAGGGATCTTAGAGAGCGCAACAGAAGAAGGAAGAGAAAAACGGTGATGACTCGTGTCGAGCTGTACGCGATTATGCTATTAAACATTACTTTTATTATCGAAGTGTGACTTGTTATTCTTCACGATAAATCTATCATCTTTGGATCCTTACGAGGGGTCCTACACATATATTTCTGCAACTTGTAAACTTGAATTGTATTTTAGGTAAAAATCCTCCAAACGTTGTTAGTTTTAAAAACGCTTTCGTTGTTAAAATAATAATCGGTTAGAATTAGGAAAACTCGCAGATCGGTTGTCAAAAAGAATGATCCCTTTCCTTCTTAAACGACACAATTTTCCTACGAAAACGATCAAAATAAAATCCCAGTTACAACATTTAGAATTTTAGTTTAGAGAATAGAATAGGATATTTTCAATATAATTCAATTTTTATAAATCTTTCAGAAAAAAACGAAAGCTAGCAATACAAATAACTAATCATAATTTAATTATCTTTTCTCTACTCACAAAGTATCCTCCAAACATTGAAATTATTAATCTGACGCAAACTTCTTAACTTGATAGTTCTTTCTTTACAAAATCAAAGATGACAGCATAATAACATACATCGATAACAGATCAAAATATATTTTATAGTTTGAAGTTAACGCATAAAGATAACATAAAAATAAACACTAAATATTTTCTATTCTTATAAAGCAATGTAACAACATTTTTCGAAAATTACAATTTTAATTCAATCATTAAGGAGGTAGTCGAGTGACAGTCACTTCCAAAAATTAATTCGTATACAAACGGTTAAAC